GGGGGGGGGGGCTATTTTTGCTTTCACTAACTTTTTTGTATACTTATGCTAATGAGTGAATGAATTTTAAGGTACATAATTGCTCAGTGTAGTCAACTGTTCGCACCAGGACCCATACACGCGCAATTAACCACATTGTATAGCTCGTCTAAATACCACTTCTTATTCATTTTCCCGGTCTTCTCGTCCAGCCCCCTTTTTGACGATTTTTTCTAAACATTTTATCACTCTAAAAACGCCGAATCGCGCACTTTCTTCGTCTTCATCGCACTATATTCCACCTTACCTCCCTTTTTTCATAATCTGGATAACCCAAAATTACCGTGAAGTAAGCCTTTAAGAATTTTATAGGAAGTGATAACAATTGATAGGTTACTATTAATTGTTATCACTTAATATCACCCACCTTCAAAGTTCCATTCCTACCGCAGCATACCTTCCGAATTCAAAGTTCGGGTCAATCGTTTACTTTATTTCAGCATTAAATCTGGGAAACACAAAAGCTTCGATATGGAAAATGAGTTTACCCCCACGCCTCAACATCCAAACAGCGACGAAAACAGTTCACGGTTAGTTTTTTCCGTCCCTCTAGTTTCCATTCTGTTACTTATGAATTATCTAGCCTCTTCACCTGTTTGAAAACAGAAACATGAGCAAAACAACACTTATTTTTACAAGATAGCTGGGAGTATATAGGACATTCGATATTCATTTTCCTGACTCGTATGTCAGATGCAGTTCCGAGTAGGAAGTGAGTGTTTAGAAACAACATCCGGTGATTTTAAAAATTACCTCAACATCCAAACATCTATTGCTTTCACATATGATACCCGTGGAAGATTCCTGATAATATTTCCAAACTGAAACGTCATTGCTAGCAATGAATTGACTCCTAGCATTGTTCTGGCTGGAATCGCTCTGAAAGCGTTCACGATTTCCCTTATGGTTAAGTTCGTTGTATCGTGATGATTGGTGATACGGAACAAGAGGGCTCAGAGAGCCGGTCCAGAGTTCGGTAAAATTCATAGACAACATGGTTCATTTCACGGCATATACCTCACCCTATATATGTAGTTCTCATCGAAAAGGGACACGAGCCAAAGGAACCGGGAGGGGGGTTAGTGCAGCTAGGGGGTCACATGGTGCATTCCGAAGATGGAACGCAAATTATATTGCGCCCCAATGCCATGGCAAAGAATTTACAGGATAAAACCGCGCGCAGACGGTGGAAGAGACTCTTTGAGCTCTTCCGCTCTAAAGCAATCGTAAACTGCGATTCCCAATTCCAAGGTCCTCAGGTCAGGCACGAGTAGTGGTTCTGCCACGAATCATTATACGGAAACGGCAAATTTCAACCGGTTCTCAGTAGAACTCCAGAAAGCATCAAGATTCTTTGTTGCATCTGAAGCAGAATTGGGTAGTTCTTTCTGTCTTTTCCTTCTTTTCATGCATTTTATCATTGCCTTCACTGTGAGAGTGAGGAAGGTATCGGTTGATGATTTTTCCCATATACCCTGCATAACATGGTTTCTATTGCCAAGTTTTTCAGAAAAGGGTGCAACATCACGTCGTTAAAGATGATGAAATGTGCAAGGCCAACCTGGATCCTAAGTAAAATGATATCCATGAGATCACGATAGTAACCATTGTGGGTATGTAACCCTGTAGTATGTACCACCCATATCTCCGCTTGAAAACGAACGCTACCGTCAACTCGTCCCACCAGCCAGCTGGATACATCTGAAGCAGAAACATTATTGCGATTAACGATCTCATAAAATATACTACGAGTGAGAAGCCACTTTATGATCAGTATCCTCTCATTTTGCTGTTCACCTTTCCTTTCGGGAGGCGTATTTCAGAAACCTTCCGAACACTCATAGTTTTCTATGGTCTAAAACCAGTGTGCTCTTGTAGTCGGGAGGTTTGCAATGATAAGATTTGTGAGTGCTTACTTAAGTGGGTCATTTAAAGCTTCAAGTTATGCCCATTTCTTTCCTTGCTTTTCATCTAATATTTAAACAACTGTCGAACCCAAGTCATGTTAAGATGCTAACCTAGCGCGGAAGCAGTGTCAAGGCTTCCATCGTAGTTTCTTATAAAGATAGGTCCCGGTACAGGGCAAAAACCGCGGTCTTCAGACGTACACGAAGTGAACAATGCCTTATTTTTTCACAGTAACTCTCAAAGCGCACAGTATTATTCGTTTACGTTATCAATCTGCCATAATGGCAGAAAGATAATTTGAATCTAACAAGAATAGCCGTCAATTTACCGAAATCACAAAAAGGTAGTTTGAATTTGAGAGCCTATCTCGTTTGTAATGACTAGAAAAAGAAGTAGAACATGTACCTGCTCAACTGCGATGACACTGAAGTTGACCATCTCAAAATCTGGAAGTTGGATCGGTTTCAGCAGCATCACCGGATACGGTTGATTCCATTGCATTCGCACTTCACCTGTGTTGTAATTGTACCTGAAATACCTTTCATTGACCAGATTAGATACAGACTAACGCGAAAGGATGGTATGACTGACGATTCGAATGTGAGGAAGCACTTCTGTTGATCGAAGGGGAACCGCTTGAGATTCATATCGCATGGACCAGTGAGTTTCATTCGATAATTCGTCCATAGTGTACCATTTGCGAAAACCATCAAAAAAACGTTCCTGGAAGGCGCTTTCTTTGAGCTCTAGTGTTCCTTTAAATTCGTTTTGCTTTCTTAACCTACTCGAACTACCTTTTTCTGCACAAAAAGCTATTCATCGCTCACCTGAATGGTGACTCATGAATAGCTGCGTTTTTCGAGTTGATGAAGCACGTGTTCGGGATCCAAAGCTTTTGTAGAACTTTGTCGTCGAATGAGATGTTAGATTTGCATGGACTCATGTAATCAAAAACCAATGCTGGATCCTCCCAAAATTCGTTGATGTAGAGGTCTGAAGTGGATTTGAGAACAAAATTGTCTGAAGTTTCTTTTCTTTTTAATGCATTATCAAACAGCAAATAAGTGGAAGCGGTCAAAATCGGCAGTGATTCAGCATTTAATAAAATTTAACGAAAGTGTTAACTTGTGAAGTAGTTTCAAATGCACTTCAGCAGATTGGTCTGAACACGAGGATAGAATTCAATCAAAAGATCATTTAGCGCGTGATGCACTAAAAAGTCGACATTTTTGTCGTAAAAGTTGAAATAAGCATCTAACATCCCATCGGTCGTACCACTCATGATGCGTCAGGCACCACACGAACTCCTTTCGAAGCCTTCACTTCCTTTATAACTTTCCTGGAACCGAAAGCATAGTATAGAGCAAGCTGTTTCATGTTTAATTTGTGAGCTTCGGAATGAGTTCATCTAGTTGTGTTTTATAGGCACTTTATATTCTCCGCAAATTGACGATTATTAATATCAGCAATTAATAATGGTCAATTCAGCTTGTGGAGAGGACCTACTACGACAGAGTTGTTCATACAGTGGTCCCGGCCTAATAGTTGGTGAAACGTTGTTCTTTCGAATGAACATTAACTAATAGGGTTACTGTCCCTAGGTTGCTTATCATTGCGCTAGTCTGGAGAATTTCTATCACTGACGAAGATAATCGAGAGACAAACCAATTTCAAAGTCTTGTGTGAGTTCGGAGACTGCTGTCACTTCCTGCACCCACATATCCACTCGCACTTGTGTTGGATGTGAAGGAATATAGTGCTAAAATATAACGTTTCTCGAGAAGAACTTTCTGCAGGTCTGACTTGTCAGATCGACCGGGACAGATGGTTGACTCCTGTAATCTAGTAACCCATCCGGAACAATTTACTCAAATACCAAAGATAAACAAAAAAGTGTGTACTTTTTGTCCTCACTCCACCTTTTTCGGAAGTTGTATTAAAAACATGGAAATTGTGCAAACAGGGGTAAAGTTAGCCAAAAATATGTTCATAGAAGTTTCGTGGGACGCATCCAGATCAAACGAGCAAGAGCCTCTTATGCATAGTCCATTTTTATACTTATAGGCAATTGCGATAATATTTCACCAAAATATTATCGCAATTGCCTCTAAGTATAAAAAGCGATAATATTTCACCGCGACACCGAAATGGGAGTGGCCAGATTGTCCTATGCTGGATTGGCCTGAGTTTTGTTAGAGACGCCACTTGCTCCTGTCCCTGGTTATCAGCCTGATCAATCGTGCTACCTCTCTGAACTATCCTTCGAAACTCTTTTGAACATTCTTACCGACCTTAGTTTACTTACCTTGTTGTAGGTATCTTTGAGCAGAGTATTTATGACAGTTGTGTCGTTAGCACAGGTGGGCATCCCTGTTGATCCAAACGCACCTGTGGTGAGTACTTCAGTGAAAAAAGTTACCATTAGCCAACGAAAATGATTCATCTGAACAGAAATTCTTTGCGAAAGTTCTTGAGTTGACCATTTGTTACTGAGTAAACTTACCCAGGAGTATGTCATGACTGCAACCGTTGGAGAAACATGCTCTCGTGGTACGGGTAGCTAAGACAAACACGGCTGGCTGAATTCGATTCAAACAATCCAGTGACTTATTGAATGAAGAACGGAAAAGGCTCAGGTTTAGTGAGAATACGATATGATAATTCGTCCTCTTCTCATGCTAGACTATCTTTTTTGTGACAGTATAGGAATAATGGTCTAACGAAGATCATTATAATTGATCAGAAATGTTGGCAAATGCGTGCTAGAAAAAGGAGCACTAGTGGTTTACAGGTCATTTCGATGATTACCCAGAGCCTACCATGGGTGGAGTCCAACGGGCACAGTCCACACATCACTACTCCTTATCGCTATGTGGTACCGGTTTCTAATAATTTGACGCTATACAGTTAACTGAAATCGTACGGCAAGGGGCACCTGATGTGATGAGTCTTTATCGGCTGTAGTCGGGGAACCGGAATTTTATTCTCTACACCTCCATTCCTATGAGTTTGGGCACGATTAAAAGTAGGGAAGTTTGTAGCTATAGATGTACACAACGTGATCCTTCATTTTTACACCCAATATCGGTTACGGTTATGAAATTGCCATCCATCCCTCTTCACTCGCTGGAATTTTGAATTTCTTACAACTGAGAAGGGAGTTATGAATTTCCTGTCATACTCATACACACATACAATACATGCACGCACCACATATCCATCGTGTACTTGAATGATTAGCGAATGTGTGGAATTAAGTTGTGACCGATAATTATGACATTTATACGGTTCACAGGTTACAATTAGCTTTCAGAATTAGAGTGGGTGTCAGAATGTAATACATAATGTAGTACCATAACAAATATACGTAATATATTATTACTCAAAAACTTATCAATTTCCACATAATTTTAAAATTAAACAAACTTATTCAGAATTACTGCAGCTTGTGTCTACCAAAGCCTAAATTATTTTGCATTGAAATTCATTTGCTCGATTTTAGCTTCGTGAATTTTGTGGAACAGTTGGCAGACCTCTTAATTTCTTACTAATTGAAGCCAATCGAATGACTAAATTTGGTTTTCACTTGTTTTTTGAAGATTTGTTCAGCTGTGGCTGTTAGCAGCAGAGTGATTTGGGAAAAAAATTCCGTATTGCGCAAACACACTCTACTTCAATTAAAGTATGTATATCAAGCTTTGTGATGCGTCGCCATCATTGCACTTGAAATTAATTATGCATTTCTTTGAATGGTGCTGAAAAACTGCATTTCAGATGACTGCAGGGTCCAGCCGGAAAGTATTCGGCATAAAAGAAAACGTTTGTTTCCCAGCAATCATGATCGTGATCTTGAGAAAGGACATGTGCCTTCTGCTTTGAAATGCATATGTGGCCATGCAAATACTACGGAAGTTATTGTACATTAAGGCACTATAATAATTTTATCACATACGAATTTTATGAATGGAACTACGTCGGCGTAAGGGTAATAATGTGATGCAGGCTCCGAGAGAACTGAAGTCTGACAGCCTCCCTCACATCGTGAAAGCGGGCCCGAAATCTTTGGCGATTTCGTTATGGCAATCGAACACTTCATAAGGCAGAGGGGCAGACGTCAAGGAATTGAATTTGCGGCTCGGAGACAACTACAACAGACGACAGCGGCAGCCATCCGAAACGAATATGCATACATTTATAGTCGCACTACCACAGCAAGAAAGTGACGCCATTCCCTGACTGATAATTACGTTCAAATTTAGCGCCAAATAGAATAGGTAAAGATTAGTAGTAGTCTGACTCTTCCCGGCGAAGACAGAGTGCATAAGACAGAAGACAGAAGTAAAAGCAAGGAGAAGCTAAAATTGGTTGTGGAACAATTTCGGAGTACTAGTTATGCCACTATCTTGACAGTTTACTCTTTCTTGCTGAGCGCTCTGCGCTTCTCTTTTCGGTGGTCAGACGCTTCTCTTTATTCAGCAATTCAGAGCAATATCTTTGCTCTGAAGCTAATCACAGTCATTTTATCTGAGAGTTCAAAAACTCGAGCATGAACAGTAGCAGTCGTCGCTAAGACTTAGTGATGTGCGGCTACTTCAGTCAAGTTTCTTGGAACAAGTTTTCAACGAAAAGGTTGCTTAATATGTAAATGAAGTTAGGACTTTCAGAAAATCGTCGAGTACCATGTAGTGTCATCAGGAGCGCGGCTTTATCGAAAGCGATGCTCTTGCAGTTGATTCTATTTATCTGATTCACTTCAGTAACTCGCAGCAGAAGAATAAGCGCCGCCCATCAGTAGCCAAGCCAACTCATAAAAAAGCGGGCGAAGTCTCAATGGAAAGGCTCACCTCTCACTCTATAGCTGAATAATGAGATAGAAGTGTGGACATTGTGATTTGAACATGAAGTGTGAAAAATAAGTTCTTAAGTAATCACACTGTTATTGACTACACCACGAAGGAACAAAGACATGCTCATAAACGCTACAGCCTCATGGTACTGGACTGTAGCGCAGAGATGTAGCCAGACAGGAAACGAAGGCGAAGCGGTCGTTCATCGACCACGAGGGTTTCAAAAAAAAAAGTCAAAAAGCTTTGATGGTAGGTGAGCGCGCAGTAGCCAGTGAAACGGCTGTCCGGTCCACAGCAGCGCTTCTTCGGGCTTGGCGCCTGCGAAAAATATTTTTGTTAGAAGTGACGCATTAGCCTCTCGAGGCTGGTGGATAACACCCATGTCTGGCAGTCGAGAGGTCACAAAAAGGATATTTTCGACTTGCATCAATCATACATCTATACTTTCGGAAGACGTTGCATTTCAATTGTCATTGAGTTAATCGACATCCTCCATATTTCTTTGGAGAAACCGCTTATGAAGAGAGATACAGTCCAGCACACAACAGAAAATTGGTGAACACAGTTATAATTACTGTCTATCAGACGAATTGAAGTAGAAAAGTTTCAAGTTTGACACAACGTCAACAGTGATTGAGGAAACGACAAGATCGCCGAGCAAAGCCCATTATCAGCAACGTGCGGTGATCGTTAACGTTGCTCATATGTCAACGAGGAAAGTGGAGCGGGGAAGCTGGAAGCAATCTCATGTCAATTGCATGCATTTCTCGCTCGTTTTCCTTGAAAAATGGGGAGAGCACGCCCCATATGCACAAACTGTATCACTATCCTACTTTATATAATTCGCTAAGTACTTTGTATAATTCGCTCGATATCATTTGCGACAAAATTAACCGACCGCCAGTTATTTGGAACTCTTAACTATTGTTATCTCTGTGAAGTAAAAGGTTCATTGATAACATCTGATAATGGTGTTATCATCACACGAAATATTTGTAAGTACCGCCCGAGGCTTTGGTTACCTAATAGTTCAATCTTTATTGGGTATTTATCTTCAAGAACGAGAGCAAGAGATCGAGACTCCCAATTAAAGACAAAATTACCGACTTTCACTGAATACCAATACCCTGTTAGTCCTGTGTCAAACTTCGTGTCCAGGAAAATACTATTATTTGCTTCGAAGAAGGGGTGGAGAGTTAGCTGATTACTACAACTTTGTCAAA